TCCTGCTGATGTAATATTTAACCACTATAATGATCACTTCTCTTCCCGAATCATATCCCACTATGGACATCAGAGTACATGCCATTGTAATTGTTTCATAGTTTTCATTCGTTTATCATTAGCACAAAATTATTTTTATATCAATAAAAATTTCGAATTATTGACATTTATTTAATTTTGAAATATAAAAAATGATAGATTAAAATAGATAAGAGATTAATTTTATAAAAAAAATACTCATTAAAAAAAATTCACATTGAATAATCCCTAAAAACAGTATCATTCAAGAAAACTACTCTAATCATCCTCTATATATAAATGAAATAATATAGTATAATTGACTTAATTCATACTCAAAATTTAAAGCTTAAACGTTACATTTCATCAGATAAAGTTCAAGTTGAACCAATGGTAGGCTAGATGCAAGTTACAGGCTATAACAAGTGGAACCCAATTTGGGCTTCGAAAATGAGGCTCTGAGTTTTTATATGGGCTAAACCAACTAAAAGGTGTAAATTTAACTTGTGTTCAAAATTCAAAGCTCAAACAATCACTACATTCATCTGAGTGGGTTTGATTGGCATAGAAGTCTAGGCAAGAGTGAAAAAGGTGGAAGAAAATATTGAAAGGGGTGAAACAACTTTTAAAAACATAAAAATTAAGACTACAATTTTTATTTTCTTTAAAAAGTGATTTGAAGTAATTTTGAAATTCACTTAAAATTCATTTCACTTATTATTGTTTTCAAATTTAAGTTTGAAAATAAAAAAGCATAAATTTACTCAACCTTATTAGCAATCTCAAAAAGTTACCAATTATTGGAAGCATGATGCACAAAAGATATCATGTGAACAAGAGAAGGGCCCAATCTCATGCATGGCATTAATTGGAGCCCAATTCTCTTACTAACTTATTTCTAAAATCCGATTCATTCTAGCTGTCTTTTGCAGATCATCTTTAGGAATTTTTCTTTATCAATGACGTTTTCAAACTCTTTTCTCGAACAAAAGGACTTTTAGACAAATTATTATTTTTTTTTTATAAAAAAAACATCATCAGACAAACTTTAAAAAAAAATAAAAATAACATGATTCAAATTTAAATTTACTTTATTGATCACTTCTCGTTAATTTCTGGTCTCCGTTTTAGGGCCTCCCTTGGTGTCTCGTACTCTCGTTCTTATTCCCATTGATCTGTGAACCAATGAAAATAGAGTGGACCCAGAAAACAGAGAGATAAAACCAATATACAAAGGACTGATTCTTAATTCTGGTCATTGTGATAATCCATGATTAGTTAATTATATGTTATATGCAAATTCAAAAAAAAAAAGTGCTTGTTAATTTAAAACAATTCAAATTCAAAAGAAATAAGAGAGAGTAAATATTGGAAATGATAAGAATCAATACTTGTATAAAAATATAAGAGAATAGAGATAGGAATAGAGATAGGATAGTTTGAGATTAAGATCATTGTGCCGTCATTATAATTTTAATAAATGGATAAAAAAAATATTATTTATCTAAAATTTGACATGCATAACAGTATCACGTAATTTAACAGTCAAATTCATGAAATTTGTGTTAAAATAAAGTTATAATCATAAGACTTAATTATTCATACAGTATGTAAATCCCTTTTCTCTAATCACATCCCTTAAAATGAAGTGGCATGGGTTGGTATCGATTGACAACTAAGTTATGGAATGTCTTTGAACATAAGCAGAACTAAAGTGCATGACATTAATTATTTGTGAAAACTAAAAGTAGAAAGCATAGGTAGCTTCACTTGGAGACAACCAGTAAGTCCAAAATAAGTGACCAAATTTATTTGACCTATGTAACCCTTCTGAATTCTGGTTTTCCACGGAAATTGTACTAATTAGTAATCAAAGTGGTCCTGAGGCTACATTCTGGCATGACATCAATGTTTCTTCAATTTCTCAATCGTATATTGGATATACAATGTTAGCCCAACTTCTTCAGTTTCAGAGACCCTTCTTTTTCAGGTCAGATATCAAATCTATATCTAAGGCTACCTAGGCATAGAGTAAGTGGTCTAGGCATCTAGTGGTTCATTTCACATGGAAATGATTTTTGAACTTTTTTTTTTTATAAATATAATAACACTTTTTTTTTCTTCATCATATCACTATCATGAGAAAAATGTCTTTTACCGTAACACCTTATTTGGTTGAGATGAAATGAGAGAAAAATAAAATAGAAAAGTGAAAATAAATTGAGTGGTGTAGTTAATAAAGGAAGTGAGATATTAAAAGGTAATAAATTTCATTTTTTTTTTAAATTTTCGTGCAAGATCGAGTGAAAAATTAGGGGAAAGAAGTTTGTCTCTTGTTCTGTGGATTTTTAACCACCACACCATTTTTCTATTTATTTTTTATCCAACACATGCTGGCTAACCATAATCATATTTAAAACATTTTGTTACACTTAATGACGGTTTTTAAATCGCTACAAAATGATAAAATCGATTAAAAAATATTTTTTTTTATACTTAATGACAATTTCTAAACCACCATAAATGGATAAAATCGATTCAGAAAAACATGTAATTGATTATATTTTTTTATTATTTTTCTATTTCTCTTTTATTTTTTATTTTTTTTTTATACTTTTCTTAAATCAAATAACCAAATTTTCACACTATTTCTTACCTATTTCTACTCACATATTTATCATTTTTTTTAATTTCTCTCCACTCTATTTCTCACCTATTATTTTCCTCTTTGTTCTTATAATTAAATACAATGATCATGGGTAAAACTAAAAATTATTTTTTTATATGAATATTCTGTGTAGATAAAACTTAAATATTTATATTTATAATTGTTTGATATAAGTAAAACTTAAAAATTCATTACATAACTTACATTGCAACGACCCGCGCGTCATGGTTTCTGCACTTAGTGGAATCGCACTACTACTAGTGAACTAAGAGAAATATTAAAATTGGACAACTCATACATACATACACACACACACACACACACACACACACATATATATATATCTAAGTAAAATAACTGAGTTTCTATGTACAAAACATAACATCATATATGTACAGTCATCCCAAAATAACATCACCCTAGTGTTGGTCAAGTACACACAAAACAGTTACCCAACATGGTAACTCTAACACGAGGACAAAACTCCCCGTCTCGCAGCGGTCACCTCAACTTCAAGCTAGCCCTGACCTACTCCCATACAAGTATTATCATCGTAGTCCATCCACATGGAAACAGAAGGGTAAGCTAGAGTTCAAAAATCAATCATACAAGTATAGAACAAAATCTATATTACACATTCATCCAATCAAGTCCCATAGGAACTCCCATCTCAATCCATCATCAATTCATCAAACATGAAGTCACACCACACACTTCATCATAACATCAATCATGCAATAACATGCAATTCATGACAGATATCAATGCATATCAATCATCTATTGCGTCGTCACGTATACACCTAGGAGATCTCCCTAATAGTAGAGC